CAGAGACCTGTGGCCAAGCCTTCCCTTTGATGGGTGTGCTATAGGAAGGAAAAAAATAGAAATAATTTAATCTCCTGAAGATCCCGGGATCAACCAGATAATCTCTTGAAACTGCTTCCTCTGTCTTTGAATTTTATTTTAATTGTAGGATCCATATCTGGTTGACATGAGGTTTTACTAGAAACACATCAATAGGACCAAAATAATCTCTTTATATCCTTTTTCCTTTAGTATTCTCTTTCCTCTGATCCACCCCACCCCCACCACCCCACCCCCGTGGGCTCTGGGAGAAAGATCTGTTCTATGTGCTTCTGTGGGAATGGCATGGGGGTTCTCCCTTGACTCTGGGTTTCTTAAAGCCTCAATGTGGTTTCACCTCCCAGTTCTCCAGGGACAATGATAGTTATAGAGAGTACTCCAGAAAGCCACCTTCCCCCTGTCCTTTCAGTCTGGACCCTAAGGGTTTTCACACCTTAGACAATGCATTAGGTGCTAAACTGTCCAAATTCCTCAGCACAGACGTGTCCAGCAACTCCCTGATGCTCATCAAGTGCATTGCAGGTCCTTTCACGTGGTTCCAAATTCTACAGGGTCTCATCCTCAACTATGTGCAGACCCATCTCCTCAGTCCCGTTAAACAATTCTTTTCTAGCCAAAAAAACTTGCCATTTCTAGAAGATTCTGTGAACCTGTCGGCATCTCCTTCTTTCACTGTCTCACGTCCTTCCATTTTACATTCCCTGGGACATATTGTAAGTTTAGAAATTGTCTTTGCATGGCAAGAGTTTGGCTTAATTAATAACGATTAACAAATGGAGTTTAGGAATCTACCTGAAACAATATACCAGTTAACCTTAACTTGAAAATTTTATTCTAAGGTGACATTTCTTCCAAAAAATTGTTTGAAGGTGGAATGATGGGAACAGCACCTGTTGTATTCATACTTTAATGATAGGAAAATCATTTATTAAATTACTTTTGTCTTTCAGTATTCAGGACTGCAGCTTACCAATAGCGAGACAGTGACTAAACATCTTGATTATGTACCCAGTTGAACAAACATAGATTTTTGGAAAGGGGCAATTAAGAAGGAACAAAGCAAGCTGAATTCAAATACAGAATGTGTAATATAATATTCTGATTTGTTTAACTCCTGCCCTTCCTCATCTCAGTGTCCCTGTGTGTTTTCAAGATCCAAAGCTCTCCTTATCAAGAAACTTTCCTCATATCCAGCAAGATTCAGACTTTGGGAGCCCTGTGGAATCTCTCTCTCTCTCTCTCTCTCTCTCTCTCTCTCTCTCTCTCTCTCTCTCTCTCTCTCCCTTTCTGTCCTTCCCTCCCTCCCTCTCTATCTGTCTGTCTCTCCTTCCCTCCCTCCCTCTCTGTCTGTCTGTCTGTCTCTCTCCTTCCCTCCCTCCATCCTTCTCTTTCTTTCTCTCTCCTTCCCTCCCTCTCTCTGTCTGTCTCTCTCTCTTTCTCTCTCTCCCTCCATTTGTCCATCTCTATATCTGTCTCTCTGTCTCTGTCTTTGTCTCTGTCTCTCTCTCTCTCTCTCTCTCACACACACACACACACACACATACACACACACACACACACACACACACACACACACACACACACACAGACACACACGTGCACGCGCGCACACACACACACCGCTGTTTTGTACCCATTTCATCCCAGGAAGAGTGGTCAAGGTGCCTAAGGAACGATCCCTGACTTCAGGATTCTTCCTGTCTGGTGTAGGAGAGAAACTATCGCACGCTTAGCGTGTTGCACATTCTAACATTACACTGTTTTTATTCCATTTAAAATATGAAGTACTGTGGCTGACTGAGGACTCTCTAGTCTGAAATTCAAGAGTTGTCCTTCTAGGCCAGGGACTCTGTGAGTCCTGAGCCTCAGTAGGTGAGATGTGGAAAGGGAAGAATCTAAGGTATGGTGACAGATGGGGAGTTGCATCTGAGAAGCATGGAGGAGGAGGAGGTCAGAAATGAGACTAGGAGCTAACTAATGGACTAACTAACTAGCTAATTAACTCATTACTTTGTTCCTCATTCACTCATTACTTAAACAGCTAGCTAATTAACTAACTTTGGTTATATAATGAAGGCTGGCCTGCGGGAAGGATTGAACTTAGAGAGAAGCATTAGGCTATATCAATAGGTCTGGATATATTAAGTTGCCTTTAAGGCATTTTACGCAGTATTCTTCATATCTTTGAGATATCTAAACCTATACTTGCCATGTTAATACAGCTTCCTGAGTTATGCCTCAGTTGGATTCTGGCAGGAAGGACCAAGAGGGTTTCATAGCAAAGACCACCTGAAACACCAAAGAATTCCAGAAGTTGTACTTAGAGCATGAATTCCTGGTAGTTTCAAGTCTTCTCCACTTCTTAGAGGCACCAGGAGATAGGGCATTAGCAAGCTCTTAAACACATGGCAATACATAATTGAAGTCATAATCATCGTAGGCCTTTCTTAGGTTTTGTCATGGGCCTATCCTTTCTGTGGTGTGGCAACCACACATATTGCCTCACTCAGTATCTTCAGTAAGTGTTGAAGGGTGTCATGTCTGTTTTACAGCTATCCTCAGGTCCCAGCACCCTACCACATTAGCTCATACAGTGAATAAGGTTGGCTCTGTTCATGGAAGTCACCTCTCCCCAGTCTACCTCCAAAAGAATCTCACTTTGGCAGTTACCTCTCCCTAGAATGTTTTTCTGCCAAGATAGTCACAAAATTGACCTTTTTAGGTCTTAACTGAAATGTCACCTCCCTCAAGAAGCCTTTCTTGATCATGTTACCTCTTATTATACACATTTTTCTGTTATTTCTTTTCCCCGTTCTTTTGGGTGCTAAGGATCAAACCCAGGAGGAATCCATGCATGCTAGGCTGCAACTAACCTATCCCCCCAGCTCAGTTTACTTCCTTTTAAGTTTACTGCCACCTGAAATCATGCATTTACTTATTTTCTGTTCCTTGGTCTAAGATAATAATTTCATGAGATCCAAAACTTTAAGTGTCAGCAACACTTTTGTCTTCGATGTCCATGGCCTTTGAAGATAATTTCTGAAAAACTGATTTTCGTGCACACTCAACAAATAATTATTTGGTGCCTAGGAGGATAAATGGGTGAATAAGTGTCGCTAGAGCCCAGCCTGTTTCTGGCCCCATCCTTTCTTCATATTTTCTTTTTGCTGCCTGGTACCCAGTAATACAAACCACTGAACCATGTATCTGGGGTCGAGGATGACTAACTCTTTGAACTCAAGCATTTACTCAGTGTGGAAAAATCCTCTCTCTCTCTCTCTCTCTCTCTCTCTCTCTCTCTCTCTCTCTCTCTCTCTCTGACAGAGATTGTTTGATTTGGGCTCCAAACTCAAATACAGTACTCAGGGTGCATGATTTTTTAAGCAACCATTCCTTTAAAAACTATCTTTGCATTTGTGCCTTTTCTTATTCATTCATTCATATCAGCTAATTTTGAAAAACAAAATATTGGAGTTCCCATAAAAGAGACATTGTTCCGGGCCTTCTTCATTTGCCTGTGTTTAAAAACATCAGCCATTTGGAAATGTATCGTCCATCTGACCAATTAGTGAGTCAGTATTATCTCCACAAACAATGCACCAGTCCTGAGACACTAAGTTCTCTCATTCTTCTCTCAAACTACTTTTTTTTTTTTTTTTTTGGTGGCAGGGTTCACACTGGCTTTCCTGGAAGGACAATTCCGTACCTTGGTAGAATCTTGTCAGTAGTCTTCCAATCTCCCTCACATCTATAAGTCTAGAAATAACTTGTGGGTGAGTGTCTAAGTTAGAGAAAGTGGCCCGTGAAGGAGTTTAAGTATTCTCCTTGGTATTCTATGACAGGATGTGCTCTTACCTCCACTAACTAATTTTACTGAAATGTTTGAATGTGCTCATATGATTCTAAATGATAGGAGGGAAAAAAAATTCAGAAGCAACCTGCCCTTCACCTCGATCTCTACATTCTCCAGGGAAACATGGTATAACAGAAGGAACAGAATAGCTTGGAGAGCAAAATTTTAAGGCATTCTAAGCATCGCTGGTTGGTTTAATAAAATTAATTAGCCTGCCACAGAGAAAATTTACTAGCACGCTGGTTAATTTCACAATGTAAAGTCAGAGAAGGGAGGTGGGGCTGAGGGGAAAAACCTTATTAGTTTTGAATAATTATTTAAAGATGTGGGCCCTGCAAATTTCAAACACTTTGACAGACAATCCCATTAAAGCTTTAAAAATCTGTTGCATGTGTATCCTAACATATATGGCAAGGGACCTCCACAGATGAAATCATAAGCATACTAGCTAACAGCAAAATGACTCATTTAAGATACAGAACTAAAGGCAGATTTCTAATAAAAACATGGAAATAAAAACTTACCTTGATACTAGCTCGCGGGAGGTTTCTGTGATCTTAATTTGCTATTGATACAATGATTATTCTTTCTTGTCTTTTTAATCCAAACAAGATGTTCACGGTGGCCACAGAAAGGTGCCTGAAATCACATGCCTGAATTCATTTAATTTGCCAACATCGTCCTTTTTTTCTTCCCTTTCCCTTCCTGGTAATGGGCAAGAGTCAATTCTTCTGCATTAAGTGCTAAATCTCTTCAATTACCAGCCGGGAAGAAAGATTTAAAATTGTGCTTCAAACCTCAAAACTGATTTAGTTTAAAAGCACAAACACTTCTCCTGTGGAGCCTAAATTAAACTACAGAAAGGACTCAAAGCCTGAAGAATTAAATAAGGCAGGGCCAACGCTCAGGCCAGCCATAGGGACAGTTTTGAGTTTGCTTTCAAATGAACCCCCGTGGTATGAGAGGAAGGGGAACAGAAACAAACTGGCAGGCAGAACCTGTGTAAGAGGTGCAGGTCTATATTGTGGGGAAGCCGGGCCTGGGGTGAACATTGGTTTGGGGATTAAGTCAAAGCCCTTATCCCTTTTTTCTCATTTCTTTCTCGCAGCCATATTTAACGTGGATGACTCTGTGGTTGACCTGGAGACCCTGGCAGCCTTATATGAAAATGTGAGTGCCAAAGGCATACAGAGCTGGAGTTTTCATATTTATTTCCACCCTAAACATCACCGAGCCGTTCATGTTCTTGGGTAGTTAGGATCTGAACGCAATGTGGAAGAGATCCGGACACAGAGATGCGGATTTACACATGAGGGGGTGTGTTCTTAACTCCTACAGCAGTGTCTGCCCTAGTAGATCTCACTGACACCAGCAAAGCGGAGACCACAGGTGCACCCTAGAGCCTGACCCTAGTGCTAGCTGACAGAGTGACTGAAAGTGAGCCTCCGGCTTGATGCTGGCACACTCCAATGTCTTCCTCAGAGGAATCGGAATCCCAACGGCCGCTTGGATGATGATTCTCATACCAGATGAGCTGCTGACATTAAGTGCAGGAGGCAGCATTGAATGGCAATGGTGTGTTCTAGCTTTAAAATCCAGATTAGAGTGGGACCCTACCTGACTTTTTTCTACTCAACAAGAATTGATTAAGTATCCTATGAGTTCTTCTCATGGAGCCCAAAGCCCCTTCCAAAAGCTGAGTCACACAGTTTAGGAACATCATGAATCATGTTTAAGAAACATCACTGTAATGCACAAAGTCTTTGTAAGTGGAAATAGCATAATTCATAGGCTCTTGTGAGGAGATGATACTGGAGAATCAGAAGTCCCATGAGTGTCAACTCTTCTGTTCATTGACTGTCAGGATGTAGAAACACAGATGGAGCTAGAGTCCCTAAACCATGGCAATTCTCAGATAAGTGCATGGGGGCCTGGTGACATGCTATAGTCACTCAGTTCACAGGGTAATTGAGTTTATGTCCCCTGGGACCTTAAATTTCCATAGTCTAATATAGCCCAGTGAGCTCACCAATTCCCTACATATTTTCACATTCTTCATGTATTTAAGAAATTATTTAGTGCTGGGTGGGAGCTTTTCACATGTTTCTATCAGTATAGTTCTCACAAATAAACCCAAAGGCTCACAAGTGTCAGAACATTAGGAGTTAGTGGTACATTTATTGAGTGCCTGGAGGATAGTGTGAGGATCCTGAATCCAAAACTCATTACCAGTAGATTAGTGCAAGCCTTGGGGACTTATCCTCTGAAAAATGAGGATACAGTAATTGATGGCAAAGAACTCTATCAAACAAGGTGCCTTCCTGATGCTTTCTGTTGTTACCATGTTTTCAAGAGTATGCATATGGTCAAATAGAGGAAGTAAGTCTGTACACAACAGGAAATGTTAGGTAAGTTATAAAGTATGTTACTAAATGCCTAAATAAGTATTGTAAATAACACACACTTAGAAATTCAGGAAAAAAGAAAATAGCGACTACAAATAATAGTGTGGAAAGCCCATGTGAGATAGTTGTTCTGGGGGAAAGAAAGCTAAGGACAGCTTGCCCCACAGCTGCCTACAGAAGACTCAAGCTATCAGCTGTCTTAAGCTGTGTGTCTGGATGTGTGCACTTGTCATGACCATTTGCTTTAGCTAGTAACTGCCAAACTTGAACTTGTATCAGAATGCCCTGAAAACTTGTATCAGAATGACCTGAAAGGGTTTTCTGGGCCCAACTGTAGAGTTTCTTATGCTTGGGGTGAGACCCAAGAGATGCCATTGCTGCAGGGTATGGGATCACAAATGGATTCCTATGGTCTGAGGCTGATTCACTTGTGTGTGTGTGTGTGTGTGTGTGTGTGTGTGTGTGTGTGTGTGTGTGTGTGTGTGTGTGTGGTTTGTTTCTTTTCTTCTCTTGATGCAGCGAGCCCAAGAAGATGAACTGACTAAAATAAGAAAGTACTACGAGACATCAAAAGAAGAAGACTTGAAGCTGCTGGACAAACCTGAACAGTAAGGATCCTTGAAATACCTTTGGTTAGTCTGAAAGAAGAGCTATAAACTCCATCTGTCTGCCTCCCAGCTATGAATGTCAAGTCTAAATGGTGCAGAGAGCTGAGTTACAACAGCGTAATTCTGTGCCCTATTGCATCCAGCAAGATGACTCGGCTGCCGGGAAGGCTGCTGAGATGTGTGCTGTTGGATGCAGTGTGTCTCTCCCCCTGCTTTCACCCTACACCACTCCCCTTTCTTGTTCTAGCAACTTAATTCCTCCTAGACTAAACATTTTAGCCAAAAGGGTAACTGAGGAAGGAAGAAGGCGTTACTACGCTGCCTCAAGTTTTGCTGATGTGTTAAAAAGATGACAACAGAGTCACCAACCAAATTCAGACTGGTTTTCTTAAATGTCATGCTCAGTAAATGTATCCTGAATGTGGCCGGTTTCCTACAAACTTCTCCACTTGTGCTGATTAGGTTAGATTTTTCTTATCCTCCATCTGTGTGGCTTGCTCTTGTTTCCATTAATTCTCTAGAGTGGCCAGCTTTGGTTTGTAGTACCATCTCCCACACATTGAGAACTCAGACCTCTGCTGGATACCTGAGTGGCTTCTTGTTGGTTAGACCCTTGAGGTCTGCAAGCCACAGATGAGTTCCCGGGAGTCCCCAGTAAGCTATTTATAAAGGGACTAAGACTGCAAATGTGCTGCTGGTTTGGGGCTCATGTGCTGATTGCTACGTTTTGTGCTTCATGTTCCATTCAAGCTAGCCTTCGGCAGCCAAGGAGAGGCAGCTACAGAAAGCAAAGGGAAAGCAGAAATTAGATTGAGTGTAACAGGCTACCCCTACAGGCATCCAAGGTTCTGTCTTATACTCTATGCCGTATGTTTGGATGCCTCAGTTCTCATAGACCCAGAAGAAAGCATCTCTAAATGACTGGCAAGGTAGTTTTTTAGAGATCTGAGGTTTACCCAAAATACTGTCAAACCTTGCTGATAACTTATGAACCTTAGATGGGATCCTCTCACATGGAACAATAGCCCAGACTCCTGTCCCTTAAACCTGGTCCATAAAGCCTAAGAATATGTATAGATCAATTCAGATGAGATTCTACTGTCCTTTTGTCTCACTAACACTAGCCATCAGCTCCACCACCTCCACCGCTGCTGATGCTGCTCACCCAGAAGTCAGGTTTACCTACTGTGAATTAACTCCTGTTAAATCACTAAGGATCAATGGGGAAGTGACTGGTGGTAAGATATGTAGACACTGACATGGCCACTGGTAGTATTTGGAAATGATAGGGCATATCAAACAATTGGGCAGGGTTAGTGTGCCCAATTATGTGGTAAAATTGTAAGCCTGGGGTTGGCAAACTTTTCCTGTAAAAGACTAGACAGTATTTGATACTTTGTGGGTTAAAGGATCTCTCATGACTCCTAAAGTCAGCCATTGTACTGTCAAGGTTCAAAAGCAACCATAGATGATAACATGTAAGCAAAGGGACACAGCTGGATCTCAATTTTATTTAGAATTGCCAAGATTTGAATTTTGTATTATTTTACATGTCAAAAATACTTCTATACTTTTTATGATAATTTAAAATATGAAAACCATTCTTAGGGTCACAAGTCACACAAGTAGAAATGGCTGGTTGGGTTTGGTCCATTAGCTCTAATTTGTCCACACTCAGTAAAAACCTGCCGTAAGTTGAGGGGATAGGGTACAATGAACCACTGATGTGAAATGAACAGTGCGTGTCTGCCAAGAGAGGCATTCCTCTGCCTTTTGTGGTACAACCGCCCAGCATCATTTCTCAGCACTAATTGCCGGGGCATAGAATAATGGTGGCAACTAATTAGCGCACTACTTCTTATCCCCCCCAACCACCACCCATGATCTAGCTAGATAAGCATTTTTGGAGTTTGGAGGGCCATTGTGCTGACTCCCTGAACACTCAGCACTATTACTGGAGGCAACGATGCCTGTCATGTGGGGCTACTCAGGTGGCAGACAAGGCTCAGGGACTGGCATGGAGAGGTTGAGTTCCCCAGACTCAAGCGCGCCTCACCTTTGCTCTCCCCGTCTCTGAAGGCAGCTTTTGTCTGATCCATGCCAGAGCCTGGTTCTCTGGCGATTTATTTGCTACTTATGCCCAATGAGTGGACTATAAGCATGTTTTACATACTGGGAAATATGAATCATTGAATTTAGCATTTCAGTTTCTTAAGAGCCCGTATGCTGCCCAGTCCTGTAAATCACAGCATGGAGAGGCTGGCCTCATCACTCACCTCATCAACTCTCCTACACCCCAATGCCAGATTTAGAAAGCCATTTCTCACAGAGGTGTCATCTGCTTGGGACTTGGCTGTCTGAGAGCCACTCCCTCCAGGGATGTCCCTCCACTCCCTTTATCTCCTGCTTTGAGGTTGTTGGTGAGAGAAAGTGTGGCACTCCTGGTAAGGCCTGTTGGCTGATTAGGCCTCCTGTGGTCTGCAGTGAGGATATTGTGCACATCATATCAGGACCTTTCACAGGGATCCACAGCTAGCTGTAGTGTTTTGCTTCCTTGAGTATGGGCTACATTGTGGAATAATACCGTGGATGAGACCCCTGTTGAACACATACCTTAGATCGTACCACCAAGGGTTTTTGGGAATGATGAGAGATCACATTAGTCTCCTTTCAAATGCCGGACCACACAGCATCATCCCACCTGTCAGCTGAGTTGCCACCGTGGCTGTAAAACCCACACAGAGTGAGCCCCAGGCCTTCTGTTGTGGGTACAGGCTGAGCGATAGTCCTTTCCGGGGAAATAAACCACATTGCATAAGGAAGGAAAGCTCCCTCGCTGGTGTGTCTGTCCTTTCTGTTATAAAATCTAGAATAAAACTGTAGAGTAGCCCAAACGGAAATTAGTCCACGAATATCTGTAACTATGAAGACCTACTATTCAAGATACTGTGCTTGGGGGTCTGTAATGGCTTATTATCCCAGCACTTATGGGTAGGCTATAAAGCACAAGGGAACGGGGGGGGGGGGCAGAGTTCATCAGACGCTTGGTTTGAGTAGCCTTTGAGATGACCTTTCCTTCTGGCACTTTCCAGGCAAATGAGAAAAGAGCAATGGTGCCTTTCCTTGGGCCTTTGCCTGGTTATGTTTGTGTTGAAAGTTGCATAAAATCATATATTTTCTTTTGCGATTTTACTTCTCTTGTGTTTTATATCTTTAAATTTTACCAAGTGTTTCCGAGGCCAAACCCTGCAAGTCATCTTGGCCTCTTCCAGCATCAGTCCCTCAGGGTTATTCTGCCCCACAGCCCTCTTACCCACTTGCCTGTCTCCACCATCACAGGCCCTCTTACCTTCCCCTTGCAAGGTCCCTCCCAGTTCTCCAAGCCTGAAATCTGCTAATGTTTCCAGGTAGCCATGCCACTGCTGTGGTGATTGTATGAAATAAAAATTTAAAAGTATTATGTCTCTGTCTGAAACCCTTCATTTGTTCAGAAAAAGTACATTTCAGAATACAAAACTCCATTTACTTTCCCCCAGCTTCCTTCCCGACACCATCCGGCCTGTCTCAGCTCACTTCTCTAGTCTTCAGCCACATCATTCACAGCATCATGGGGAGGCTCAGTGACCACAGCCAACATTACTTCCCCAAGCCTCTCATCAGTGATCACATCTTTTCCACACTTCAGTAATTATGGGTGTGTCTTTTTCAATGTCAAAAAGGAACCATATGTAAGCCAAATCCTGTTCCTAGGCCTTAGGTAGCTGTAAAGGCTTCACATACACCTGAAGAACTGAGTGACCACAGCTAATGCACTAGAACTCGTTAGCAGTGATAGGTTCTATGCAAAAGCGAAACCCCTCCATCTGCCATCCGCTCCCAACTCCTTGAGACCTGGGACCTTAAGATGCTTTGAGAACCTTCTCAGAGCAAGCCGTCATCCTCTGTAAGTTTTTAATCAGACAGCTTTGCAGTTCCACTCTTTTATTTGTTGAGGAGCCTCTAGTCTTGTTTCCACAAGTGGGTCCTATGGCTCCTCTAAAAGACAATTAGTTGTTTTTCCTCCCGCATTACCCGTTTCCCATCCATGTCCCGGTGGGTGAACCAAGGCATTGCTCTGTTTGCTCACTCAGATGCTATCTATTGCGCCTTCATTACTGTCTTCATCCTCAGCAGGTCATTTACTTAGTCCAGAGATCAAGGTCCTACACAGGGTCTGAAGAGCTGACACAGTCGCTCTGGGGAGGGGAGAAATGCAGGGCACTTTCTGGACTGGCTCGCAGCATCTAAAGGAGTAAACCGTCCCCAGAACTCATCACAGAACCAAATGCTGCCAGTCCCCAGAGATGTTTCCTGCTCCCTGTGAAAACTGGCGACAGCTCTGATGTCATTCATGATGAATGACTCTGGTCAACTCTGTACTGTACTTATGAGGGAACAATTTAGAAAAGAAAGGCAATTACTCTCTTCCTGTCCCTATGCAACGCTTCTGTATTCTCTTAAATGCAACAGTCCATAGTGTGCTGGTAACTGTGGCTGCAGGCACAGAACCTAAAGAGAAGGGAGCGTTTTCTATTGAGTTCCCCATGCTTCATTTCCATAGTATTTTAAAAGGCTGGGGCAGGGGGAAATAACAACTAGGACCTGGTCAGAAGAGTTAAGAAAAATAGCTGATAATAAAAAATGTATTAAATCCAAAATCTTAGGAGATCGGAGTGTTACACAACTATTATCCCAGTACTTGGGAAGCTGAGATGGGGGATTGAAATTTTGAGATAGCCTAAACTGTAAGTAAGCTGTAAATAAAACCTTGTCTCAAAAGCAAGTATACAACAAAAACAAACAAGAACACTAAGTCACCTCCCCCAAAAAAACCTGTGGAAAGAACAGAATACAGAGCAAGAAAACAAAACTTAAGGACAGAATGGAGCGTAGAAGCATTAGAGGCTGTCCTGGGCTACATAGCAAGACTGCCAATAGAAGAAGAAAGTTGACCCCTCCCCCTTGTCCTCCTCTTTCTCTTCCCCTTACCCTAGCTGCTTCTCCAGCTACTCCAGCTGCTCGAGCTACTCCAGCTACTCTAGCTCCTCCAGCTACTCTGGCTCCTCCAGCTCCATCTGCTCTATCTCCTGCTGCTACTCCTCCTCTTTTTCATTTGACACAGAGAGGGTAACAACTGTGTTCATCTACAAAACTATATTTGGTGGGAGACTTCAAAATTTCAAAGTGATGGTATTGTGAATTGACCAAGACTTTCAGAAATAGCTGTTAATAATCATTTCAACTCCAAAATGAAATTAAGGGCTGTTAGTGGATTCTCTCCCTTTCTGAGATCATAGCCAACTGTTTCAACTCATATTACTTTATACCCTTTCCTCTGGTGGTTGGTGGTTGGCCTCAAAAGCAGGTAGCTCTTCCAGCTTCATTTTGCAGAAGACACCAGTGCCCAGTCTCTCAGACAGTGAGCTACTGTGTGTAGAGCACTAACCAGTTTTGACTCTTAAGAGCTGTTTGGCATACTTTAAAGATTTTAGGCTGTCTACTTTATGAGTTTCTGCTTTCTTCTAAGTACTGAGCTAGCTATCAGCTGCACCTACGTGGATAAATGGATACAAAGGGGAAGCAAATATATGGAAAATGAGATCATTATAGACTGTTACGTAATTGAGCAAAAAAATAGCAATCTCACTTCAGTAATATCTTATCACTTGACTATAGACATTTGTCCAAAGTCTTCAGTTTGCCCTACCTACGTTGATATACTTTTAGAAAATTCTACATGACACAGGAATTGATTGCGTCATCTTCTCATACACTAAAGACCAGGGCTTTCCATCCGTGTTTAGCCCCTTGTTTGAATTGCAGGAGAGAGGTAACGTTTTCAGAATACTTGCATAAACTTTCTGCTCATCTACATTATTCACCATCATATGAGCTTACTAGACAGAGGCCCTGTTGTCAACAATGGAGCAGATGGAGTTCCTTGAGTCAGCCCAACCTCACTCCCTTTATGAACTGAAATTGTGATGTAAGGAATGTTCCCCCTGGTCGATCCGGACCAGGCCTCTTTCTTAAGTTTTCCCTATGACTATGCACAAAGCAAAATGATTTGTTTTTATTTTTACAGATTTCTGCATGAGTTAGCCCAGATTCCCAATTTTGCTGAGCGTGCCCAATGCATAATCTTCAGGGCTGTGTTTTCTGAGAGTGTTACTTCCCTACACAGAAAAGTAGAGATTGTCACACGAGCCTCAAAGGTATGTTTGCCATTTAATTTAAAGCCTTCTTTGCCCTTATTGGGAGTAAATGAGGAAATGAGAGGTGAGGAAGACCCAACATTAGTGATTTACAGAATGAAAGTTGTCTGTACTTTACTTTGACTGTTGAAGGGAAATGTGGTGTTTGTCCTGTCCAAGTGTATGGAGGGAAGGGAAGGAAAGAAAAGGGGAGATATGAACTGAAGAAAAAAGGGAAGAGGGAAAAATAATCTTTTTTACAGATTCTAAAAAAAAAAAATTGTCACTACCTCACCATGTACCTACTGGCCACCAAAAACTAAGAACAAAATAGTTCGATCCCTGTTCAACTCTTCAAATCACAAAGAGATTTTACTTGAAGCCCATGAAGGCGATCATCTGAAATCTGTCATAAAATGAAAACATCCTGGAGACTTGAAGTAACTAACTGTGATTGTGAGTGACTGACACATACATTCTGTGTCCACCACACTCTGTACAAAGCTCACGTCTAACCCCCAGCCCTTTCACTTTCACCCATGTTCCTAAGATCATGATATAAGTTTGTTCCACATATTCTGTGATACTTCATTGTTTGCCAGAAGGCATGATTTTTCCCCCCTGTGACCTATAAAAATTTTTTCAATGAAGAAAGAATAACCATTACCAACCTATGATACATGTATTAATAACCTCTGAGCAACCAGGGCAGAAGTCTACCTAGGTCTGAACTTTATTTTTCTTTTTATCCTACAATAAAAGAAGATAAAGCTGGATTGGCAAGATGGCTCAGTGGGTAAGGCACCTGCCACTAAGTCTGATGATCTGAGCTTGATCGTGGTGGAAAGAAAGAACCAGTTCCTGCAGGTTATCCTCTGACCTCTGGGTCCTTGCATGCCCCCACAGCCACCCCCTCCACACACAAGGAAATGTAATAAAAAAGATGATAAAAATAATTAATAGTATAAAGAAGAGTTTCTGTTTGCACTTGAAGCAAAGATTTAAGAGAGAAAAAAGTGAACGCGATAGAAAGATAAAGAAAATGCTTAGCAGCTTAACATTGTGAAAGTTAATAAATAAGAAGCAAACTCCCAGAGAAGGTACATCTTGAAAAAACTTAATATAACCTCTGGCCTTAAAGTGCACTATCAAAATTAATCTCGGAGGACTATGCCTACTCTTGCTATTATGTCTACTCTAAGTTTGACTATATTCTTTGTATATAGGTCCTGAAAAGACACCTGACCTCTTTCGACTTAGAATTATCAAAAATTAACTACATTCTCTGTTATTTACCTACAAGTACTTTAAAGTACCAAGATCAAGACTGCCCAAAATGAAAAATAAACACAAAGGTCCAGCCCTCATTATTATAACTTTGTTGCATAAGTAGGAAATTGTGGTTGCTTGTGCTCCCCCACCCCCAAGATACTGCTTAGTGAAATGTGTCTTACATTTGCCAACTGTTAATACGACTGGTTACAAGCCAGGTAACAGGATTTGGTTGCTTTAAGAAGCCTTTGCTGTTGAGCAGACATGACTGTGTTTGGAGTTCAGACCATAATAACTTGTATTTGCCATTGCAGGGCTTGCTGCACATGAAGAGTGTAAAGGACATCTTAGCTCTCATTCTGGCTTTTGGAAATTATATGAACGGAGGAAATAGGACTCGAGGGCAAGCAGATGGATATGGTTTAGAAATCCTACCCAAACTCAAAGACGTCAAAAGTCGGGTATTTATTTACTTTTCATACTGAAGTGTCTACGTGTTAGGGTTATTTTTCTTATGAATCTCTAATTTAAAACAAAGTATTACAGACTGATCCATTTATCTTATCTTTCCTCTAATAGTAATAGACCTGAAAGCATACATTTCTGTTTCCCCCTTCTGTGCTTTGTTTTGCCTTGAACGTGGTCTTTTATTTCTTTAATATTAGACCTCATTTTCAGTGATAAAATACATCATATGTTTAGGCTCTAACATACATTAGATTAGACATTGAACTACTACTGCAATACAAGATAAATCAGCATATTGTATTAGTCATAATGCAGAGGCTAAAGTCTGTTTGAATTTAGTACTGACCGTTTGTAATTTACTCATTCTTGAGTGGCAGACACTGTTGAGCCTAGGATTTGAATTATTCTTTTGCCCACAACAATTGGGGCTGGAGTCTCCTGTCAACTCCCTGAGCCTGATTATCATTTGGCTCCGCACCCCTGCGGAGCCACCTTTTTAGAAACAACCAGCCCATATCTGGGCGTCCCATGGGGGCAGGGGGAGAGCAGAGAAGGGAAATACACAGGCAAATTAGAACTAGACCCCTGTGAACAGGACACAAAGGCTGCCTTGTGGGAGGGCCCGCTCCCCCTGGCCTTCCAGGGTCATAAAGTGGCATGGCTTTCCTTTTAAGCTGGCCCTGATTGTTTTTCACGCCATTAAGAGCACACATTTTCTGAGAAGTAGGAAGGGAGGGATGGTTTTCTCTTCTAGTCCACAGCTCCCTTTAGCGTTTCCCACCCCCTCCTGTCTTGGCAACATGCCAGGAAATATGGGGTAATGATTTTTTGTTTGTTTGTATATTTGTCTTAGCCGGAACCTCAAAGGTCTCCTGAATTACCTATTTTGTTTGAGTTTTCCTCCCGCAAAAAAAAAAAAAAAAAAAAAAAAAAAAAAAGTGGTGTAGTGTCATTTCTCTTTATAGCTGGCATTAAAAAAAATGAATGAAACTAGGAGGAGCAAGGAAAATCTGGTCATTGTGTAACAAATAGGACTCAGTCTCACAAATGGTAAGCATTGTGAGCTGAGTTTTCAGTTCTCACTTGGGAAGCATTCAGGGTCTCCTGTGAATGGCTGTCATTTGAATTTCTCTTTTAAACCTAGGACAATGGGATGAACCTGGTGGACTATGTCGTCAAGTATTATCTGCGGTACTATGATCAGGTAGGAAATGAGAAAATGGCATTGGGGAAACCAACCAGTGTCCGGAAGGATTCAACTCTAATGAATCCTTAGCATTCAGGAACTGGATTCTGGCTACATGGAGGGATGGCTTTCCTCCAGTCCAGCTTTGTGTCTGAAAGCTCCCCAGTGAAGATAAAAGGTACACCGGGGTTTTAGAAAAGGAAGTGTAAGAAAGACAGGAGGCCACTGAGTCTCAGTCTGCCAGCTTCAGATAGATCCCTCATTGCCTCGTGACAGATGATGGGGTTTTCTGAACTCTAGATTCATTCAGGAGTTGGTTAGAGTTGAAACTGAATTCTGAGCTACTGCTCAACATTGAGGAAATCAAAACACTATAATGTTCTTCTTTTTAAAGACATTGAGTTACTTATTCATATTTTATGTGTATGTGTTTGCCTGTGTGAGTTTATATGTGCCACATGTGTATGCAGGAGTCTGCAAAGGCCAGAAGAGGTTTCAAATCCCCTGTAGCTGGAATGGCAGCAATTGTGAGCTGCCACACTGATGCTGGGAAACAGTACGAACAGTGTAAGAACAGTTAGCTCCGTTAACTGTTGAGCTAGCTCCCCAGCCTAGTTATTTTTATTTGTTAGTTTGTTTGGGCGACAAGGTCTTACTTAGCAAGTATCCTGGACTGGCCTGAAACTCACTATGTGGACCAGGCTAGACTTGAACTCACTCTGCCTGCCTCTTCCTCCTGAGTGCTGGAATTAAAGACTTTGTACCACATCTACCTTAATTACCAAAATTCTACCAATAGTACCTCTGGGAACAAGTTAGAGGCATTAAATTTGAGAACAAAACAGAGCAAGAACATGTTCTCTGCTTAGAATATATTTCAATTGGAATTGAGCACTTCTTTACGTATATACCTGAGCACAATTTTCTTCTTTATTCCTTCTTTTTGAACTAAGAACTAAGAGTCCTCACTTTGAGGAGAAAGGAGGACTGTTCGTTGGTTGTTGAAATTGATACAAAAAGACAAAAATCTAAAAGTAGAGAAGACTCCCTCCCAAGGGGTTGAGACCCACAGGTTGAGAACTACTGCTCTAGGCCACGTCACAGTCTCTTATGTGTGTTTCCAATACAACTTTTATACTCAAAACAGAAATAGATCTCTACTTCAAGTGAATCAAGACCTAAGACTCTGGTGTTCACCCAAATTAGAACTATGTCTCAAATCTTTTTTTAAAAAAAGATTTATTTTTATTTTACATGTGTGAGGTTTGCCTACCTGTATATACATATACCACATATATGATTGGTAGAAGCCAGAAAATGGCATCAGCACTGGGTCACCTGGATCTAGAGTTACAGGCTGTTGTGAGCTGCTGTATGTGTGCTGACAAATGAATCCAGATCCTCTGCAAGAACAGCAAATGCTCTTAATCATGGGACCATCTCTCAAGCCTTTTACATTTCTATTATTATTCCTTTCAAGAAATAACATATTTAGAGGTCTTATGGAGAAAACTCCCCATGATGTTATTAACATGTATTATGGATTTATTCAGGGAATTGCAGACCATTATAAAGAAATTACATAATTTTATATAAAGAAAGACCACAGTACTGATCAACAGGTATACCAAGAAATGTTCAACATCACTAATCAATAGTCGCAGCCACAATGAGATATCCCAACATACCCATCAGGACAATCACTGTAGAAATATAAAGGATATTGCTGTGTTAGGGGCTACTTAGAACCCTTGACCGTGGTTTCTGAGAATGTAAAATGGTTTCTGAGGTGTTATGTAAGTCAAATTTTGGGCAGTCCTCAAGAAATTAAAACTAAAACATGGTCCAGCAATCCTCCAGGGGAGACACCTTTGCTTAATTCGTACATATATGCTTAGTGAGCTAAAAAGATTTCAGCCTTCTTATATCAAAAACTCTAGAAATATGCATAAGTTTTCTAGGAATTTATAGCTGAAGACTTGCATTACTATTCTACTTATGATAATTAAAATAGCAAAAAATTTGAATTTTTTTGTAGGTATCCAATGCTTAACAATATAGTCAAATGAATCATGTAGGAATTATCAAATGAAATAACAGACTGCTATGGAAAGTCAGTAGAGCTTGAGACTCTTAATCTCAGCGGCATGGTTCAAGTCCCATGTTGGGCACCAATTGTTGTTAACTGTGTTTTATTATCTACAGTAGCTGCCCCTTAAGCAATGGCTTCAGCCACAAGGGCAGCAGCCTGAGGGGATAATGTTCCCTCAGGCACCAACTATTTCAAAGTTACTAAGGGAAACTTTATCTAAATCTAAGGAACTCAAAATTCAAGGTTTGAGGTGGAATTCTACTCAGCTGAATAGCAAGTAGCTAACCTTCTCCCATTGCTGGTGTCTTCCAAAAGTCCCAGTGTCCTTGTCTCAGCCCCCACTTAAAAAACCCTTTTTACCACTTCCTGTCAGCTAGTTGCTGACTCAGCCTCCTGTTTATAGGTTAATTTTATTTAATCAAACACATCTTTGAATTGTTAACAAAAGCAGAAGGAAAAAAATGCAACAGACTTTAAAATAATATTCCCCAACAGAAAGTGTTTAGGATACAATGTAGTGGCCCTGAAAAATAATCTGTCTGCTTTTAAATTATATATATGCATAAAATAGGGTGGTATGGTTGGCATATGCCTTCAATCCCAGCAGGGAGGCAGAGGCAGATGGGCCTCTTAATTCAAGGCCAGTTTGTATACAGAGTGAGTTCCAGAACAGCCAGGACTACACAGAGAAACCTTGTCTCAAAAAACCAAGAAAAATTATATGCACGTGTTTTGAAATTATAAATGCATACATACACACATATTTTGAATAGGTAGATGTAAATGTAACACTAACTCAGAGAAAACCTGCAATGATATATAGTAATATATTTCATTACTTGGGGATGTTAGAGTTATGATACTTTTTTAAATTTTCAATTACTAAGCATAATTAATGTGCATCTGTAAAAATGAAAACTATATTAAAACAATCATTCAACCCAATGTTTCATGTTTCCCCCCGCTTATATAAGTATTTGCTCACATCCTGATCCTTAAAGGAAATCTTTGAAACTCTCACCTTTAAAGCCTGGGTGAAGATTCTGTGCAGGTCTCCAACAATGTCTTTTGCTTCTTCTGTGAATAGTGTACAAGTTATCAATGATCTTGACATTGTTCCTTGACAGCTAGAATTCGCTGTTAACTTTTTAGTGTCTACCAGGGAGATGTCCCTGGTCTAATAAGCATTAACTACATTATATAATATAAATATTATCAAAAGTGGAATAAATTGGCCAATGTAAAGAACTAGATGTGAGAAAATAGTTTTGTTTTTCTGGAGTGAGGAAGATGTGTTGAGCTTCAGGAAATTTAGCAGCAGAAGGCACATCTGAGCATACTCCAAGTTCTGACAGCAAGTACCCACAGGCCAGAATTACCCTGAGGAGTCTTGGCAGGTGACATTTGTAACCCTCGATCCCCAAGGGCAGATGCCTCTAGCCAGTCAATTGTTCCGTAGAAAGGCTGAGATTAGTCCATGGAATATGGTTGTTAGTGAGAGCAAGATGTGATGGAATTGACGTTGTAGAGGAAAAAGTGATCAGAACAGTTGCAGATATGGAATGAGCCCCATCCACATTTGTGTGGTGCCCTCCCAGTGTGCACCGAAGAACACATTGCACTCAAAGCGGAGTGCGGAGTTGTGTGATTTATGAAGCTCTTTGCCCTTTTGTGGTCAGTGATGATGAGCAGGGACCTGAGGGAAGGTGAGTCCTTTCAGCTTCCTGCTTCTTCTGCCTGGCATTGGGTCCAAGTCTAGGCCGGTGGAGGTTGAAGAAAATCATTCAGGGACAATGCCTTGTCAACTCCCAGTACTTTGACTGGATCCTACCAGACTGATTCATCACCAGCGTTTTCTCTTTTTCTACCTCATGAAAAAAAAATTGAAGCCATGGTAGAATTGGACACACATTCCTCCATTGTGGGTCCCCATGGTGCTTGGTAGGGCATGCTTTAGATGGCTTTTCGCTTTGCATTCAGATTCGATATTCACAATGTTCCAGTTGTTTTTAAAGTAGAAAAATAAGTATAGGGAGATGGAGAAATATGGGTGGCTGAAGTACTGATAAAATGAGGAGAATCACCTTCCCCAAGCCTCCAAAGAATCTGAAAGGTTTAGAGCAGTGGTTCTCAACCTTCCTAATGCTGAGACCCTTTAATACACTTCCTCACATTGTGGTGACCCCCAACCAGAAAATTATTTTCGCTGCTACTTCATAACTATAACTTTGCTACTGTTATGAATTGTAATGTAAATATCTATGTTTTTAAATGGTCTTAGGCAACCCCTATAAAAGGGTCATTTGACCCCCAAAGGGGTCAAGACCGACCAGTAGAGAACCACTGACTTAGAGGAAGGGAAAGGGTCCAAGTTCTGAAACTATAGGAAAATATAGTCATAAACTACATGTCTGGTACTGTGGAGTGGTCAGCTCTAAGCAGGACTTCTCTATCACATTGCATGCACAAGACCTGGGCAAGATCAAAACAGCCAAAATCCCAATGTGGATGGTAGAGGGGTTCAAAAAGTCAAACCCTTTACCTACAAGACTCTAGAAATTGATGGCTGCTCCAAGAGAGTCATCTTTCTTCAGGGATGAAGCCACTGAAAACCTACCCATGCTCTAGTAGATGATTTTATACTCCTTTGTGTACAGACAGTAGTACTAAGTGGACTCAATACTCTTAAGAGAGAGCATGAAAAGTTGGAAGAGAAAAGTAGTTGTAGGGGAAAAGGAAAGAATTTGAAGAGTGTAGGAATGGGGAGTAGGTTTGACCAAAACACACCTTATACATGTTATTAAAGTTTATTAAAGTTTTTAAAGTTTAATAAAGTTATTAAAACTACATATTATTAAAATAGTTCGTTATCTCATGATAAACTTGCATACTTCACAAAGCAGTATTTCATGAACTGTCTGTAGTGGTGCCTACCAACCAAAACCATTTACTGATATGTCAGATACGATAAACTATTTCAAGAACAAGAGAGAGTCCCTGCCATTGATGTGTTTATAGTCTAGTACGTCAGACATACAATCTAATGGTTAAAAAAAATACTTAAATTAATAGCAGTAAGTGCCATGGCAAATAGGCTCAGACACTCTTGAATAACACTGAGAAACACCCAAGTTTGGAGAGGTCCTGGAAATCTTTGAGGAAGTAATGTTTGTGTTAAGACTTAAAAGACAAATATGAGCAAGGAGCTAGGAGGAGAATCTAGGGAAATGGAAAAGAACAGCTTTGTGGACAAGGGTCTAGAGGCAAGAAACTGGCTTGCTCTCTTGTTTCATGAAAGCTTGGGCGTAGCACTTGATGTTGGGGGAAGGTAGGTCTAAGGCTGGTGCTGTAGACACAGGCTGGATCATAAAGTGCCTTGTAAAGCACTTTCAGCATTTGGAATTAGTCCTAATGGCTCTAGGAAAGGTGGAATGTGAGGAAAGCTGGCAAAGGAGCATGTGCACAGGGAGAAACAACCGAAGACGAAGATATGCAAGATAGCAGCTTACATTAAACAACTCAGGGGAAAGCAGCCTAGCTGTAGAGGATATTTAAGGCTCCGCTTATGTTTCAGTATGCCTGAAGTGTCTATCCTTGAGATAATTCACAGCTCAGATCGTCCATCAGATAGAGCTGTGGACCTTGTCAAAACCATACTCAACCATGTCTGCTGTGAATACCTCCTAAGATAAACCAACAGCATTTACATGAGCTTTATACACACATTAAAAAACCGGATTGTACACACACACATCAGAGTTTAAGCTGCAGAAAGGGAAAGTAAAGGAGGGGAGTTAGCATGTCCCACTCAGTGCCTTCTTGTCCGGTCCACACCCACTGGCACACCCTAAGATGGGTTAGCTGATTGCTTGCATGTGTAACTCAAACAAGGACTTTCAATGTAAGTACTTTCATGTGTTTCCCCTCTCTTTTTCCATGGGAATAGAGAGAAATAGATGAGAATCTACCTGACAGTTTCCTCTTCCATTCATAAGGCAAGATAGAAATGCAGCCCATGCCAGCACTATAGCCAATCTCAATGCCAGGAAAACCAAAAAGATACTGTGAAAGACTCAAAGGCTTCAAAGTACAGAGTCCTGGTTTAAGAGGGCAGTGCCATGATTCCTATTTAACAATATGAGTGAGCTTATTTTTTTCTGATTGATGCTTTGGAATGTCAACAGAAGCAACAAGCAGGAAATAGAATGGGCTCTTCTTGTTAATTTGTTTTGTTTGTTTTTTCCAAATTTTTTCAATTTTTTTCTTTTTATGTACATTGGTGTTTTGCCTGCACATATGTCTGTGTGAAGGTGTCAGATCCTGTGGAACTGGAGTTACAAACACTTTGAGCTGCCGCGTGGGTGCTGGGAATTGAACCTGGGTTCTCTGGAAGAGCAGCCAGTGCTCTTAACTGCTGAGCCATCACTCTAGCCCTGTGCTTTTCTTTACCCTATCTTTTAGGAAGCTGGAACAGACAAGAGTGTTTTCCCACTACCTGAACCACAAGATTTCTTTCTGGCCTCCCAAGTCAAGTTTGAAGACCTCATAAAAGATTTGAGAAAACTGAAGCGACAGCTAGAAGGTAATGGGATAATTACAAGGGTGACTTCTTAGAACAGTTTCATTTGATGGCTGGCTCGTGGTTGTTATGGAGATCCCCCATGGGCTACTGCAGCCATCATGGGACATTCCTTCTCTGGGCAGTATTTGCAGGCAGTAAATCCACACATTCCTCTGATTTAGCTGGTGATCATTTGGCATCTCTGTGTCTTGCCATGTCATTGTCTACCCCCGTATGCTCATCTGTTTTTGGTTGGAGGAGTTTGCATGCAGGTGTGTGTGGAGGCCAGGCACCTTGGGTGTCAACTCTAGAGCGTAGCTCATCTTGTTGGTCTAGTTTTTGGTTTTGTCTTTGAGACAGGATCTCTCTCTGACCTGAAAGTCACCAAGTAGACTAAGCTGCTTTGCCAACGAGCCCCAGGGGCCTTCCTACCCTCTGCCTCCCATGCTAAGATTGTAAGTGTGCACCACAATACCTGCTTTTTAAAAACGGGTTCTGAGATTCAATCTTGAGTCCTCATATTTATACAGCAAGCTCTTTCCTACTGAGCTGTCTCTCCTGCCCCATATCTGCCTTCTTCTGATATTTAATAGTTACAGCTTTAATAATAATGGATGCTTATTGCAAGCATACCTTTTTTATATCATTCTTATAACAACTATGATAAGCAGGAAATATATTAGCATCATTTTAGAGATGAGAAAGTCGAGACTTAAGGAAATTGTCTTTGGTCATAGGCAGGTATCCTCTGCTTTGATCAGGCCTATCCAATTACATATCATATATTTTCTAAGCTTATTTTACTACACATATACCTATACATGTATATAGGTACATGTACACACATATGTTTATATAAAGATATATTCTTTTCACATCTATGCACACATGCCATAACTCTATATCTGGTTTTGACACAACTCTATTGAGATAGATAAAATCCACAGTAAATGTTCTATTTCAGTTAAATTCGCAATTTTAATGACAAAATCCAAAAGCCTGAAAGCCATATTTTTGGCTTTTTTAGAAGGTTAAAAAAAAGTACATGTCTCTTGGGCAGGAATTTTCCTTTGGCATCTCTCAAGTCCTGTGTTTTCACTGTGGAGACATCTCTTTGTCCAGGAAGATAAATACTAGCTGTGGCACAAGTATGACTCCAATGGAAGTGTTCTATGGAGAATTTAGAGAGTGTATTAATATGGAAATGGGGCCCCCGGGTACCAGAAGGAGGGCTTGAGGAAATGGAGAGTTTCAAACAGGAATAGTTTTGCACTCAAACATAAAATAAACATTTTAAAAAGGTTTATTGTGAAAGAGTGTTCCAAAACCCCAGTCTTCAGTTTGAGACCGGCCTGGACATGGATGCAAAGTGGGAAAGATGTGCTCACTGTGGCAGGGGGAGTCATTTATATTTACCTTGGACATAAAACTTGTTCAAGTAAGGATAGTGGTTACAAGTTAATATTTTTAACGTTGTAAATTATTCTTAAAGGAGCATGCTGGTTCTATCCCACACCCACTCCCACTGTTGTTGATATGGTTGAGAGAATGAATTCAACCAAATGGATCCTTTATACAGGAGTCTTCTATGTGAACTTGGGTTATTTTTTTTTCTTTTAAGGAACTGACAGTTTTATCTTTATGTCTGATACCAGCTGCGTTGGTACTGTAATAAAACAGAATAATAAGCCATCACATGGAATCTTCTCTATACTTCTCCAGTGGTAGAGTTAGGGGGCAGGCAAATCTCAGGATGGCAGCAAAGTTCCATAGTGGGGAATGGAGATACAAGATGTAGACTGTCCCTTAGTGTCCATTCTTAGTCCTGTCTCTCTGACCCTTGTAAAGCCCTTGGCCTGACCCTTCATAGATGTTTGAGAAGAAACTTGATCTCTGTTTGATCTTGCCCTCTCCCGCCAGGGCCTACCTCCCCTGACATCCTCATGGCTGTCCTTATTCATATGAGCTTGATGATGAATAGCAAAGGGAGGGGAGGAGAGTGGAGGGGCAGGTTCCCCAGGGCATCTCACTTTGGCTAGGGATGCTGCTCTTGCCTCCCCATCTCCACTGACAATTCCCTCAGTCACTCCAAGGACTCACAGGAGCTTCTGGAGCTGGTGAACCCACTTTAGGAAGGAAGACTGAGCAGCACCTGAGTTGTTTCCCTTATGCTGGGCTTCTCCCAGAGACAAGAAGTCCCACAAACACAAAAGGAGAGAGCACCATCCCCCACCCCACACACATTGAATATTTAAACAAAAATGCCCTGCTAATCTTTGGAGATGCCAGTGTTTTTAACACATGAAAGGTACCCAGTAAATATTTAAAGAAAATGCAGAGCCTGGATTCTCTAATGAATTTCTTTTTCTTCTCTATACCATCTGGTGAGATGGCCAGAATCACAGCGGTCCGTTTCATCTCCAGTTCCCATTCAGGTTCACCTCCCTTTCCATAAGGCCTTGGTGTGAACCCAGATTGAATGTTTAATTGAGGAGGACATAATTTTCACACATACAGCAAAGATTTGATGAGGCTTTGAGGTTTATTGTAGCCATTAAAATGTCGTAGCTGCTGGCAAAATCCCAGAAAATGTCTAAAGCTAAACCAGATGTGATTAGCAAGTTTCAAGTGGTGTCAGGCCCCAGGTTTCTAGACAAGCACGACACCACCCTATTGAAAGAAATATTTTAGAGTAGCATTAACCACGCCTTGCCAGAAAAGATGTGAATTTAACCTATGGCTGGTGGGCACACCAATATCACTGATGTGAGTCTCCAAAGTAGTACATAAAAATCTTCCTGAAAGACAAGACTCGGTTTTCTGCAAGTGAACATAGAGAGATTGAGAATAGCCTCAACTGGAATTTTTGTGTGATTATTATTCTTAGATTCTTTACAGGTAGCACATCTTTTGCCTCTCACAATGATCCTGTAGAATTAGCATTACTTTTGAATTCTCACAAGATGAAAAAAACCGAAGTTCTTGGTGTTAATGTTGCTGGCTACTGGCTCAAGGGTGATGATCCAGCCATGCTATGAAACTGGGCGTGATGCTAGGACATGGCTTCAGTTCCATGACACATCCTGCCTGTGGATTAGAAGGCATGTGATATACCTTAAAAGGCATGTGATATACCTTAGAAGGCATGCAATATACATTAGAAAGCATGTGATATACTTTAGAAAGTGTGTGATATACCTTAGAAGGCATGTGATATACCTTAGAAGGCATGCGATATACCTTAGAAGGCATATGATATACCTTAGAAGGCGTGTGGTATACCTTAGAAGGTGTGTGATATACCTTAGAAGGCATGTGATATACCTTAGAAGGCATGTGATATACCTTAGAAGGCATGTGATATACCTTAGAAGGCATGTGATATACCTTAGAAGGTGTGTGATATACCTTAGAAGGCGTGTGTCCCAGTGCTACATTTACTGGCTGACGAGCCCTAGTTCCTTCTGGTGAGGGTGGGTAGGACAGCCCAGGAACTCTGTTTGAGACAGAGACACACTCATTGCCTCCCCCACAGCATGCTTCCTTGACTTCCCCCTGTCTTTTTCATTCACAGTGACCTTCTTGGCTTCCACCCAATACCTTTACTCATTTCTTCCATGCTGTGATATATCTAAGAGTTTCAGAATTATTTTCTTTATGGTGTGCATTTTCCTTCCCTGGACTCCCATATGGAGGGAGAAACTGTATTCAAAACTCCATCCTCTACTAGGTTTTACTCATGTAAGATGGCAAAGACTTTTCCTTATATATGTATTGTAGATACCCAAAATGGGTGGTGTAGATGACTGTTAATGAGAATGTTTTGCCCTAAATTTGGTGGTGTTCACTACAAATGCTCAGTGAAGCTTAAAAAGAAAAGAACTCAGACTAAGGGGTTAGATGTGTACTTTTTACTGGTTTGATGAAAATAAAATCTTATTAAGTAGTGTAACTATAAAAAGTTATTTGGGGAGAAGGTGGATAGTTCAATGGTTGTGTATATGCTTAGCATCCAAAGGCCCTGGGCTGAATCTTCAAAACACACACACACACACACACACACACACACACACGCACGCACGCACGCACGCGCGCACGCACGCACAGAAACAGAGAGAGAGACAGAGACAGAGAGAGAGAAGAAATTAACTAAAATACTCATTTTCAGTTGGGTTTGGTGGCTCATGTTTGTAATGTTACCACTTGGGAGGCTAAGGCAGGAGGAGAATTAGACATTGTCAAGAAAACAAAACCCACTTCATTTTCTTACTGGGAAATCTGGATATATAGCACCTGCATCATTGGAAACAATGAATAAATGGTTCCTTTGATAATGACAATTAGAGATAGGCCCCTTTTACTGTTAAAACCATAGCCTGTAGCATTGGCCCCTACTAGTCAAGGGCCAGCTGACTGTGATTACCTCATTCCCAGAGTACTCAGCCTTCCTTTGTGAAGACAGAGTCAAGCCTTCATGCTGATAAACACTTAGTTTACTCTACATCCCTTAACCAGACAATGGTTTTGATTTCCTCAGTGCTTTGACAATATAGCAAATAGTTGAGAAATGGAAAGCATCAGTTGTCTTCCTTCCTTACTCCTTGACCTTGTCTGCAGGCCAGGACTCTCAAGGTACTCTTACCCACCCCTTATGTGGTTGATGCAATAATGCCCCTGCACAGCAATGTTCAAACCCTAATCCCTAGAATCTGTGATTATGTTACCTTACATGGGAAAAAGGGACTTTGCAGAGGCTGACATGGGAAGACTATTTGGGTCTGACCAAGTGGAACTAATCTAATCACATGAATCTTTAAATGAATCTTTAAAAGCTGAAAACTTTCCCTGACTGTGATCAGAGGGAAATATAACTACAGAAGAGTGATCAGAGGGATGCCATGTTGCTGGCTTTGACAATGTAAGACATGGGCAGTGGGCCAAGGAATGTATGAAGCCTGTAGAACTGGAAAAAGCAAGGAGCTCCCTCTCCCCAGAGCTTGCAGAAGGGAATATAGCCCTGT